AAAAAAAAAAAAAACCAGTTTGTTAAACAATTACTACCATTATAGTTGACTAAAAACATAGCTATATTGCTCTAAGTCGTGGAATGCGGGGGAGAAAATACTTAACACTCAGAGAAGCTCACTGGTCTAGTTAGCATACATTCAGGGCATTTATTATTAACTGTATAAAGTATGAGTTTTCCCAAAATTAATTTGATCCAATTCTCAGTGTAAAATTAGAAATGAGAGGGTTAGAAGGTTATGAGAAAGTCCTTGGCTGTAATTTTCTGTAGGTCATGATGGAGCCCAGTTCAGTCAGACTTTGTTGAGTTCCCAAAGAGATTAGGAGAAGCAAAGCTTTCCTTTCACCAAGATGTCTGGAATATCCCATGAGCTCATCTCGGCTTCTTTTTGTGCATTTCAGTCAATGGAATAAGGAATGACTGGAGAATAGATGGTCTTAAAACACCACCAGGCCAGAATTTGGGAATAAATGTTTCCTCCATTTTTTGGGTTTCTTTGAGAAACCACATTGTTCCCATAATCATGCTGCCCTTTGATGAACAAATTGCAGAAACCCATCTGAGGACTTACCTTCAGGGAAAAGGAGAACCATCTGATTGCTACCAATAAGACAATCAGCTCAGTGATGAACACATGAGTAATATGGTCATATATTGGGATAAAGCACGTGTGTTTAAAAGTGCTATTTGAATATAAATAAATGTAAGGGCCAGCCAAAGAGCTCAGTGGATTAAAGCACATGCTTAGGTAGACACAGAGGCTGGGAGCTCAATCCCCTGGCCTGCTGTTTGAGACTGGACGTGGTGGCATGCACCTGTAATCCCAGAATTTGGGAGGCTGTAAACAGGAGGATCACTATGAGTCTGATCTACACAGTGAGACCCTTTACTGCCTATACACCCTGTCCTAAATACAAAAAAAATGAATGAATGAATGAATATAAAGGAGTTCACTTTGTATATATAACTTATAAAGGTTTTCTAAAAGTATTCCCTAAAGAAGAATTCTAAAATTTGTATAAGCAAAGAAAGCCTCTCTGAGATAACAATATAAAGTCAGTGTACTCATTTGAAAATAGCAGCTTGATAACCTCATTTCTAAGACTACTTCATTAGCTCAAAATCACAAGTTAACTAACTAATTAGCTTTCAATTCTGTACAGGATGCTCTGTTAGGCATTTAGGTGAAAATAAGGAAATGAAAATGTCTCTCTTGTAAAGACTTTCCACCAATGCAGTGTGTTAATTATTGAAACTGTCTTACCAATTTGATTTGAAACTGTCTCATTGTTATTTGTTTCTCAATAAAATTATGGAAAATAAATAAATAAAGACTTTCCACCAAATGGGAGAAATTAGAGCCAAAAAAGGAAAAGAAAAATAAGTATGCATGTAAGAAAATATAACTAGCTACTGATACAGGAACACTGTTGCTTGTGTGCATACCAACAAGAAACTAGAAAATGCTTCTTTACTATTCATTGGAAAGAACAAGTAGAGCATGCTGCTGGCCTCGCCTGTTAGTCCACCACCAACCTAGATTGCTGTAAATTACAGTGTTGTCAAAATAAGACTGAATGGGTTATTGTGTCTGATCCATTAAATCTGTTTACCAAAACTATGTTAGCTTCATGCAAAGCAGTTAATAATTCTTGTCATGTAGAATTCACTAATTGCCAGAGGCTTACTGATTTCTCAAAGTACTGCAATTAGAGATTTCACTGAGAAGTTCTTATTATATTCCTATGTATGTGGAACATAGCAACCTGTCTTAACCTGAAGAACCTGTTCTCCCCTGGAGAACAAGGGACCAAAAACTGGCATCATGTGATAAGTACGTGTGGCCGTGGTTCCAAAGCACAAGCACAATCAACGGACAGCACCAATGCACTTGCCGGATTCTAGCTTCCGTTTGACAAAAATGAGCAGAAAGGCTGAGCCAGCACCTTTGTTCAGGAGATACTACCAGGAGAAGCACTATTAGTGAAGTCAGCATCAAGAGTTTCACTACATGGGTCTTCCTTTCTTCCCTCTGCTCTCCTGCTGGGAACCCTTGAATAAGCTTCACTAGAATATGATGAAATATGCATTTGACATTCGAACCACGTCTAACTGCTGTTTGCAAGAGGATGTTATAGCCATTCTTAGTGCCAAGTACTTATTGTCTGGATTTTGCCTTAGTGCCAATATTATTGGAAACAAGATAGTGTTTTGCCTGTACCTAATCCTTTATTCTGCACTGGGTGATTTGGGCAACCCTGGATGAACCTGCAGGTGTAAGGTAACTGAGCCAAAAGATCTGAGAGCTGAGAACCTCCTAGATGTCTACAGAATGATCTACCCTTGCCAACCAAGACGGTAAGAAGGAAAGATAAATTCCTGAGTTGTCCTGCCCTAAGAAGCCTTCTCCACCAACCCAAGAATTGATGTGCTCAGGCATACCACGTTGGCACATACAACCTTGAATTCTTTTTTTATTATTATTTCATAAAATAATTCTGCTCTGAGTTCCTTTATAACTTTCTGCTGTTGCTTATTTACTTTTGATGTTATTAATTCATACATTTGAGCTGAGCTAGTGTCCTCTGCACTTGTTCTGGGTGGGCACTGGGTTTTTCCATATATTTCTACATTTGATTCTTTACTGCAGATGCTATTAATTCAGGAATTTCTTTTTTCATTTCCAATCTGAGATCCTCTATACCTTCCTGAAGTTGTTTCTTTATTTTAGAAGCTGTCAATTCATTGAGTTCAGCTGTGTGATTCCCAATTTGTTCTGTGTTAGTGTCCTCTGCACTTGTTATGGGTGGGCTTGGGGTCTGAGATTGCATTTTGCTCCTTCTCATTGTCTTTTTGTATAGCACTGTCTTCTGACCTTTGTTGTAGAGCTTTGGTGCGGTCATAACCTTTGCACCTACTGAAATTCAGGTACAGATCTATAGCATTTGAATTTATCCAGCTGTGCCTGGCTTGGGTCTGGCTGTTGTGCTCAGCTCCTTCCTGCTGCCATCCTTAGGAGTGAACCTGTTGTGCCCCTCTGGCAAGATGTTCTGCTCCTGGACTAGCTGGGTAGTTCTGTCTCCTACTCTTTCTGCAGGGACTGCAACTGCAAAGTTTCACCCCAGGCCTGTGTGCCAAGCCTGAGCTGAGTCTGAAAGGGACAAGGTGGAGTAGGGGGGAGAGGAAGCTCTCCCACACACTTACTGGGCCTGGCGTAGGGCTGGATCTGGCACATACAACCTTGATGAGCAAGGATTAGAAGGGTCACGAAAGGCATCCCTGTCCTCTGAGACTAGCTACCACCAACTTCTACCACCTACAACCTAGTCTCCTACTCTAGACATGTACCCACAATCTCAAGTTTCACTAAGAATCGTAATTAAAGACATTTGGGTGGCATGGAGGGTAAGAAAGGAGGACTGTATTTATTGTGAACAAAAGCAAGGGATCAAAGTTTCTGGGGTTCCTTTTTTTTTCTAAGTATGTTACTTCACAGTCAGGTAGCCAATCAAGTGGTGTAGGACTTGGCCACCAGAAAAATGACTCCCTCAGGTCAAATCCTCACTAGATGAATAGGTTTCTTCTCTCTTTGGTTACCTTTAGTGTTCTCCTGGTTGTTTTACTGCAGATCCTCACGTGCATATTTGGCCTTCTTCCCTCATCACTGACTGCCAGGCAATCCAAGGTGCTATTCGGATTGATTAGATTTGCATCTGCATGTAGCAAGTGAGACTTCCAGAAGCCAGGCTCTGTGTGTGTGTGTGTGTGTGTGTGTGTGTGTGTGTGTGTGTGTTTATATACTTCTCTTTAAAATACTGTTTCAAGTACTTATAATAAAAGGGCTTAAATGCTGGGGTAATAAAATAATAGTCAAAGCCAGGGCTTGCAGCAGAGATTGAGGTTTAAACATGAGGATAACAAGGTTGCTGGGATTAAACTGTTGCAATTTATAACAGTTCATCTAGGTAACCAGTGCAATAAGGGCATCCCAGTGAGCTCCATCATTCTTTCCATTGGATAGATGGAAAAATACTTCTTCAAGAGACATCCTTACTGTCATAGATTGCCAAAGTTATGTGAAAATTTTAACAATGATTCCAAGATTATGTTTATTTTATTTTATTTTATTTTTCAAAGTTTTATTGATAAACAGCAATGAGACAGTTTCAAATCAAATCGGAAGTACAGTTTCAACAAATAATACACTGCATATATTCTTTTTAGTGGTTAATTGCTGTACATGATGCAGACTTGTGATCCTATTTACAATCCAAGATTATGTTTAGAAGATAGTTTGGTCACATGTTTTCTAGAAAGTTGTCTTATCTTCTTCCATGGATGGATAGATAGTGGGATGGATGGATGGATGGATGGATGGATGGATGGATGGATGGATGGATGGATGACCACTGAAGACATCCGGTAGCTAATAGAT